ACACACACAACAATGAGTGCTGGAATGCTGGCTTGGACTCTGTTAAATGCAGTGATCAATTTGGGAAGAATTAATATTTTTACCATAATAAATTTTATAGTCCATGATCATTTAGTTAGAGCATCTTTAGCATCTTTTGATAAAAACATTGGGTCGTTTTCAATGTTGAGGTCTTGAAAACTCTTTTTTACACGCTAACAAAAGGGTAACATTTTTTCTTTGTTGTTGATACACAGAAATACAAATAATTTTTGTAGGCTGACTTTGTATGTAGCAGCCCTTTTAATTCTCCATGTATACAATCAACTAGTCTGAAAATGATGAGTACTGTCTTACTTTCCCAATCCTCCTATCTTTTTTCTTGCTTTATTACATTAACTATAGTCTATGATATAACACGGAATAAAAGTAATGATAGTGAGCATCCTCGCTTCATTCCCATCATCAGGGGGAAAGCTTTCACCGTTTCAGCACTAGCTATGATGTTTACTGTAGGTTTTTGTAAGAAGCCTTTATCAGATGAAAGAGTCTTCTTCTATTACTAGTACTTATCACGAATGGATCTTTAATTTCATCAAACACTTTCTACAGAAACTAGAGTAACCATAAGATTTTTCCTTTCTTCTGGTAACGTGATGAATTACATTATTTGAGTTTTGAACAGTAATCCTCCAATCTTACATTAGTGGAATAAACCTTACCTGGTCATAATGTATTATACCTACTACATATCTATGGATTCAATTTTCTGTTACTTTATTTAGGGCATTTGTATCTGTGTTTATAAGAGGGCTTTCCCTACAATTTTCTTATATTGTATTATCTTTGTCAGGTTTTGATATCAAGGGCATGCTGGCCTCATAAAACATTTTTCTGTTCTCCAGAATAGTTTTGTAAGATTGGTGTTATTTACCTGTTTTAAACATTTGGAAGCATTCACTGGTAAAGCCATTTGACACAAAAGGTGTCAAATAAGCCTAAAATGAATGAGTTGAGGAAAGCCATTTAACTTACTGGTTCTATGACAAAAATCACACTTTAAGCATATAATACTATGACTGGTTGGTGGTTGTTTCCCTAATAAATTTAGAGATCTCTGCTAAAAGAAAAGAATTTTCCTTTCAAATCAGAAAAAAGTAAAAATCTATTCTGGCTTTTCCATTTGTTAAAATAGTTTCCAAATGTTAAAGTATTACTTAAATCTTCTATGGTTCTTAAATAAAGACAGAATAGGTTTTGAAAATAAGCCTCCATGGATCCATTCTAGCCTAACAGACAATATAAACTTTCTGCATGTTCCATGAGGACAGCACACTGTGTTATATTCAATGATACCTTCTCTTGTCTGGTACACAGTAGATGTCCAAAATAATATTTGTTGAATGAATTGTTGCATCATTGAAGAAGAAAAGAAACACTAACTGATACTGTGATGTTATGAAATAATTAAAAAATATAAATTTGTTCTTCATCCCCAGTTCCTAATACAGAGCTCCTAAAAACCACATGAATTTTCTTAGTGATGGGGTGAGAGGAGCATCTTTTGTTATTGGTAGTAAGTCCCTTTCGAACATACCTCAGATTAGGCTAACAAGGGACTCCTGGAGGATGGGGCCAGCTGCTAGAGAATGAACCATGTGATTAGAGGGTTGGAACTTTCGGCCCAACCCCCTGACCTCCAGAAAGGGACAAGGGGCTGGAGATTGAGTTCAATGACCAATGATTTAATCTATCACCCCTGTGTAATGTGGCCTCCATAAAAACCATAAATGAGTTCAGAAAGCTTCGGGGTTGGTAAACACAGAGAGATGCTGGTAGGGTGGAGGACTTCAAGAGGGTGTGGCAGCTCCATGCCCCTCCATAGAGACACTATGTACCTCTTCATCTGGCTATTCATCTGTATTCCTTGCAATATCCTTTATAATAAACTGGTAAACATAAGTCAATGTTTCCCTGAGGTTTATAAACCATTATAGCAAATTACTGAACCTGAGGGGGCTATGGGAATCCCCAAATAATAGCCAGTCAGAAGTACAGGCAGCCCAGACTGTGACTGGCACCTGGGTGGAGGGCAGTCTTGTGGTATGAGCACTTAACCTGTGGGGTCTGTGCTAACTCTGCGTAGTGTCAGGACTGAGTTAAAATGTAGGACACCCAGTTAGAGTCTGAGGAGAACTGGTTGGTGTGGAAAATCCACACAGTTTATGTCAGAAGCGTTGAGAGTAGTATAGAAAAACAGTGTTTCCTTTTAGACATGTAAGTACCCTCCTTGCTTTTATTTTTTAAAGTATACTTTTAAACTACTTTTAACATAATAATAAAACTGACACCAACATATTTTCTAAATTCTGTATAGCCTTAACAGAAGTACCTTGAAGATGAAGTTGGGATGTTGTATAAACAAAAACCCAAATTCAAGAATTTACTCATTTTCTTTGGATTTAGGAACTGACTTTTTATCTGTTGCCGAACATTGTTTCCTCACGAATTAAATCAATATGCTCTGGTCTGTTTAGAAATGAGCACATGAATAATGAAAAAGAAATACTATAGTTCAGTCCATCTCACAAAGAAATCTATGTCTGCAATATGCAATGTTACCAAAGCCCTAGAAGAGTGCCTAACACAGAACAGGTACTCAACAACACATGGTACTTGCCATTTCTAACATCATCACATAGTGGGAGTCATTCATAGTAAGTGATGCAAATACCACCCAGAAGAAAACATCAAAAGCCACTGGAATGTGAACAGAGACAATATAAAGGGCCCTATAATATGTGAAAAACATCTAAAGATTTTTCAATTCAAAAAAACGGCAGCATTGGATAACAATTGTAAAGATATGAAGGAAAGGCTTCCCAGAGGCAACAACCTATGAAACCAGTCTAGAAAGATGAGTAGGGGAAAGAGAAAGAGACACATGCAGAGAACTGCAAGCAAAGGAAACTGTGTATAAAAAGAAAATGTAAGCATGCAGCTGCATGGTGCGTTCAAAGACCTTCTGTATGTGGTGCCCAAGATTACAGGTATGCTAAAGGAAATACAGTCGCCCAAGAAGGAAGAGGGCAGGTCATGGAAGGCCTTTATGTCATACAAAGGAATAAGAATGTCATTGGTAATAAAAACCTAAAAGACTCTAGTCTGAGCTGGTACTAACTGAGAAATAGTTAAACTACTGTATTTGAGACCCCAAGGAGAAAACAGACCAGCCTGGATCAACTGAAATCTACAAACAAGCTTATTTAACTCTGTAAACAAAAAGAAATTAAGATGGAGGCTGGGCGCAATGGCTCACGCCTGTAATCCCAAAACTTTGGGAGGCTGAGGCGGGTGGATCACCTGAGGTCAGGAGTTCGAGACCAGCCTGACCAACATGGCAAAACCCCATCTCTACTAAAAATACAAAAAATTAGCCAGGCATGCTGGCAGGCACCTGTAATCCCAGCTACTTGGGAGGCTGAGGCAGGAGAATCGCTTGAACCAGGAGACGGAGGTTGAGGTGAGCCAAGATCGCACCACTGCACTCCAGTCTGGGCAATGGAAAAAGACTCCATCTCAAAAAAAAAAGAAACTAAGATGAAAACAAACCCAAAATCAACTATAAGCATTAATGAAGAAATATTATAGAAGACATTTATAAACAACATATCCAATCTTTTATATTTGGGGGGAAAATTATCCAGCTCCCATGTGCAAACATCCAGCAGACCTGACTTGATTCATTGCTGTGTTTTCTCTTCCAGTTAAAGCTAGTTCTTAAGAAAACAAGTTTCTGCTTTGTAAGATTACTAAATTTAGTGAATTCATCCTGTGCTTTTGGTCTTCCTAGTCGTAAAAGTTTACATCACAAGAAACAATCCTGTATCTTTTTCTGGTGTTTGGAAACACTGAAATTGTTCAACAAGTATCTACTCCCTGCCTACTGTATGCCAGTTAACAGGTGGCTAGATAGAAGAGAAGGAAAATGAAAGAATAAAACTCACATTTTAAAAGCACCTACTACTTGTCAGACACTATTTTAGTTGATTACAGCTCATTCACCCTTATCAAAAACTTACACCATTTATAGGTAAGGCCCCTAAAGCCCACAGCCAGAAAATAAAGGATCTAGAATGGAGACCCCAATCTAACTTGAAAGGTGCCAGTTGTTACCTTAATACCATGAATACAAATAAAATAAGATAAAACCCCTGCCCTCACCAGTTGAGACTTGGGAGGCATGCATGCTTCTCTTCCTTTAAACATACAGTTCCCTTTCCTAAAATATTCTCTTCTCCCCTTAGTTTTCATTTTGCAAACTCTCCTTTCCAACTGCAATTCAAATGTCACTCTTACAAGAAATTTAAGTTTCCTTAGAGCCATTGTCTCCCACTCCATATACTTCCTTCATCTCTGTGTTCACATCAGGGTTAAGAAACGTATCACACAGCAATGTGGCTCTCTGTCTACACATCTGATTTCTGCAATGGTCTCCAAGTTCATCGAGGGTAGTCAAAGTGTGTTCATCTTTGTATCTCCAGGACCCAGGCCAGTGCCATGTACAAAGCTGCCAATCAAAAAATGTCAAATAAACAAATGGATGGTGGAAATCCTCCAAATAGAAGTGTCAGTTTAAACTAGGAAAGTACATAAAGACCTATCTGGAAAAGAATGTAAAGAAAGAAAAGAGGACATAGGCTAGAAGCTTAAGAAATGTCTACAACTGGCTGGGCGCAGTGACTCATGCCTGTAATCCCAACACTTTGGGAGGCCAAGGTGGGTGGAAAACCTGAGGTCAGGATTTTGAGAGCCTGGCCAACGTGGCAAAACCCCATCTCTCCTTAAAAAAAAAAAAAAGTAAAAAAGAAAAAGAAAAAAAAAAGATTAGCTGGACGTGGTGGTGCACCTGTAAACCCAGCTACTCAGGAGGCTGAGGCAGGAGAATTGCTTGAACCCAGAAGGCAAAGGTTGCAGTGAGCCAAGATCATGCCATTGTACTACAGCCTGGGCAACAGAGCGAGACTCCATCTCAAAAAAAGAAAAAAGAAGTGTCTACAACTAAGTGGAGAAAAGAGAGAAATCAACAACAACAAAAAAAAAAACACACTGAATAGAAGAAACAGAACTGGGCCATAGAACTAATGAGAGGTTATTACAAAGAAAATGGAAATCAATGGTCTTAAATCACTGTAGAAAGCTCAAGGAAAATGAAAACTAAGAAAACAACCAATGAAAACAGGTAGGAAATCAGTGACAACCATGAAAAGAACAACTTTGGTAGAAAGCTGGGGTAGAAAACAAACTGCAGAATCCACATCACTAGTGAGAAATAGACATTGGGTCCAAAATGTCTGGCTACAAACAAAAGGAAAAGAAACATGAGCATGAAAGAAAAGTCTGCACAAAACAAGGATGTGTATGCTTACAGAAATATGTCTATGTCCCTGACTTGAGAGTTAATACCATGAGGACACAAATCCAGCCTTAGGCACACACAAGTGGCACTATGCCCAAAGCAAAGTGCCAAACACAGAAATAACACATATGAGAAACAGACAATACTGAAGATGATAAAACCAACATTTAAAATATCAACAAGGTCACAGGATGAATGGAAAGCCAAAAAGTAAAAGTTAAAGAAATAAAAGCAAATTTGTTTATCTCTTTTAATTATTTAATTAAAGAATGGATAAAAACCTGGTCTCAGGTTTTCCCTGTGTCCAGACTATCTCCCCAGTTCTGGAGGCTGGGAAGTCCAAGATTAACGCATCAGCATCTGGTGAGGGCTTTCTTGCTGAGTCATCATGTGGACAGAAGGTAGAAGTCGGAAGGCAGAAGGGCAAGAGTAAGAAAACCCAATTCTGCAAGCCCTTTTATTTATAATCCATTCAATAGGGCTCTACCCTCATGACCTAAACACCTCCCAAAAGACTCCACATCTGCCAACGCTGGTGTGTTTGAGATGATGTTTCTAACACGAATTCTGGGGATACATTCAGACCACAGCAACCTGGTAGCACACAGAATCCATTTGAATAATTTCTTATCTTTTGACCTAGTAATTCCTTTTTTTTTTTTTTTTTTTTTTTTTTTTTTTTGGTAGAGTAGGGCTTTATTTCCAGGAAACAGTGTGTTAGTTGGAGATGGGTATTTTTTAAAAAAAACATCAAGGTAGATCTAATAAATTCAACAAAGTGGGGCGGCTCAGCCAGAGGTGAAGTAGAAAGATTCTCTAGCATTTGCTTGTCATCTTGCTGCAACCAGAAATCCACATGTGGAAATGGCGTCCAGGAGTACGGTCCTCTGCGAAGTTGTTCTGTCTCTGCATCGTAAATGCTAATCACTGGTCCTCCTGCTAAAGTTGGCGCGGCACGCAGCTGCTCCTCCAGACCCGGATCTTGAAAGGAGGCTCTGTAAATCTCTGCAGTCTGAATGTTGACAGCAATGCCATAGATTATTGGAAAGTGGTTTTCGTTTTCTTCCCAGTCATTTAATTGTCACACATAATGTCACTAAGTGAATGTCATCTTCTTGCCTGTCAAATTCACTAAGAAGTTGATGAGTGAGTTTTTGTGACAACTGCCTGTCCTCACTGAAGCCTCCAACGAGGTGCACTTTCAGCCTTCCACATTGAACGTGGTCGGAAAAGGATTTTATGGAGTTCATGATCAAGGGGAATTCAGCTTTGGTGTCGGTTCCGTCACAATGTGTCAAGCAGGTGGCCCCATTACCTGTTTGCCTCAGGACCACAATGTGACAAGTAGTGGCATCATCAGAACCCAGAATGGAGATGGAGCCATTCTTCGGGGAGGTCACTGCAAGCTCTCTTTGCTGAACACACAGAAGGCCCTGGGGTCCCACTTCTTGAAGAGACTGACCTCTGAGAAGTCTGGCTCTTTCCTCCAAAGGAGAGTGGGCTCGGACGCAGCAGCGTGGGCGAGGACTGTGACAGCCGCACTCGCCTCCCCTCAAGAAGCAGCGGCATCGCGGAGGCGGTTGCCCAGGCAGGCCCAGGGAGGCGGCACCCCGCCCCCGCGCAGCCCCGGGCCGCCCGCCGCCCCTGCCAATAGTATTTATATTAGGTAACTAAGCTACTTGAGTTCCTAAACTATATTCAATAACACACTATAACAACAACGATAATAAACAACCTCCTTCAACAACAGGAGCAAACACATTTTGGGCATATACAACTCTTATTAAGTACCCACAAGATTTTTTTTTAAGAGAGGACTTTTGATGCTCCAGAAGTAACTCATAAAATAATACAGCAAAGGACCATCAAATTCACAGTCCAGGAGATAGAGGGGTTCCATTCTGAAATGTCCAAAATGGTGACTTGCGTGTGAAAAGAAACAGGAGCAACACAACTGCAGCTCATATAGTAGACAAAATGCCAAAGAAAACAAGTAATTTTAGGGCTTAACTTGTTTATATATTCATAAGACTAATTTCTTTGGGGTCAGAAAACTTTGGGGACAGTATCTTTCAGTCATCGTTATTTTAAAAATCATTTTTGTTAAACATGGAGTCACCACGTGACCCAATAACTCCACTCCTACGCAAATACTCAAAAGAAGTGAAAACATGTGCTTATATAAAACCTTGTGCATGAATGTTCGCAACAGCATAGTAGCCAGAAAGTAGAAACAACCCAAATGTTCATCAACTGATGAAAGGATAACAAAACGTGGCATGTCCACACATGGAATGTTATTCTGCCACAAAAAGAAATGAAGTACTGATATATGCTACAACATGGAAGAACCCTGAAAACATGCTAAGTGAAGGAACACAAACACAAAACGACAAAGATTGTACAATTCTATTTATATAAAATGTCTAGAATAAGAAAATCCATAGAGACAGAAAACAGATTAGTGGTTACCAGCATCTAGGAAGAAGGCGAACAGAGAGTGACTACTGCTTAATGGGCACAGGGATTCTTTTGGGGGTGAATAATGTTCTGGAATTAGATGGTGGTGAAGGTTGCACAACATTGTAAATATACTAAAATCACAAAACTGTATGCTTTAAAATTATTAAAATGGTGAATTTTATGTTATGTGAATTTTATCTCAATTTTTTAAAATGTTAATCACTTTTTGGCATAATCTAACCACCTCTTACCAAAGTCTGGATGAAAAGATAATTCCAATTACAAATAATAAATCATTTTGATAATGCAGGTGCCTCATTTATTAAAAAACAGTTTATCTTTTTGATAAACCTCAAATATAGTCATTTAAAGTTGCAGACTGTTTTTCTTTACATTTTCCTCTTCTAGTTCTTTACACTATCAACTATAGAAAGAGCAGCTATCTTCTTTTTCTTTCTAATCCCACTTGATGCACTAGCATATCATTTTGCAGTAGCACAGGCCAAATGGAAAAATAGTAATACTCAAGTTATGAGGAGGTGCTTTACACTTTCAAGTGTTTCAAGATACAAAAATTCTGTATATTGAAATAACTGCCATAATCTGTAAATTTACTTGTCAAAAAGACTTCAAACTATGCTGAAAGCTACTAAAAGTGGGTCTCAAATAGAAAGTTTGTGACAAACATGTATTAAACATAATGTAACAGGTAATCCCCTTCTGGAAAAAAAAGAGTGAAGCTGGAGTCCAGTAAGACAAAAATGACATGATTATCTGAACTTAATATTAAGATGAACTCCAAGGCTGAGCATGGTGGCTCATGCCTGTAATCCCAGCATTTTGGGAAGCCGAGGCAGGAGGACAGCTTGAACCTAGGGGTTCGAGACCAGCCTGGGCAATACAGCAAGACCCCATCTTAAAAAAAATAATAATAAACAAAATGATCTCCCCAAAATGGGAAGGAGGTAGGTTACAGAACACTTAGTGGGATAAAAATAACTCAAGAAATTCTAAAATCTATCTCTTTTCAACAAACTAATCAGTGGGTTTTTCCAACTACAAGAACAATATATCCTTCAACTGCTAGAGCTAACTGGAGAAGGGGGTGAAGGGTTAGAGTGAGGGATCCCGAGTCTAAAACAAGGAAATCATTATCATTACTTGAAACCTCTGAAGCCCCAACAAGTTACATTGCACCCATGACTCTCCTCCAGGACCAGCTATAATAATGTCATATACAAGTTCCTCCTTTCTCTATAGTGACAAACTAATTTTTATCATAAGAGCAAAAAAGACCTACTCATCCACATCAGTGCTTCTCAAAATGTAATGGTCATACAAATCACGTGGGGATCTCGTTAAAATGCAGATTCTCATTCAGTGGGTCTTGGGCCTGAGATTCTTCCATGCTGTTAGTACATGGACCACACTTTGAGTGGCAATAATCCAAATTACCCCAAAAGGAAAACCACACCCAACACCAAGTATGTATTAGAAGGGACAAGCAGAAAGCCCAAAGCCAATATATCCAGGCTCAACCTCCTCACTTTCAAAAGACACCATATCTTATCCCAAAGGACCTGAGACTACAGTGCTTTTAGACTAAAGATAGCGCATCATAATTTCAAGGAAAAGAAATGACCATGCACCAAGTGCCGTGACAGCATCCAGCTCATCTTAGATAGCATTCATCCAGTGAGACTGGGTAACATGATTTGAATGTGTCCCCTCCAAAATTCAGGTGTCACCAATGTTATGGTATTAAGAAGTGAATGGCCATGCGCAGTGGCTCACGCCTGTAATCCCAGCACTTTGGGAGGCCGAGGCAGGCGAATTACCTGAAGTCAGGAGTTTGAGATCAGCCTGGTCAAAATGGCAAAACCCCGTCTCTACTAAAAATACAAAAATAGGCCGGGCGCGGTGGCTTACACCTGTAATCCCAGCACTTTGGGAGGCCGAGGCGGGCGGATCACGAGGTCAGGAGATCGAGACCATCCTGGCTAACACGGTGAAACCCTGTCTCTACTAAAAATACAAAAAATTAGCCGGGCATGGTGGTGCGTGCCTGTAGTCCCAGCTACTCGGAGGCTGAGGCAGGAGAATGGCGTGAACCCGGGAGGCGGAGCTTGCAGTGAGCCGAGATCGCGCCATTGCACTCCAGCCTGGGTGACAAAGCGAGACTCCGTCTCAAAAAAAAAAAAAATACAAAAATTAGCTGGGCATGGTGGTGGGCGCTTCTAATCCCAGCTACTCGGGAGGCTGAGGCAGGAGAATTGCTTGAACCCAGGAAGTGGAGGTTTCAGTGAGCCGAAATCGCACCACTGTACTCCAGCCTGGGCAACAGAGCGAGACTCTGTTTTAAAAAAAAAAAAAAAAATGAGGCCTTTAAAAGATGATGATATCATGAGGGCTCCTCCCTTATGAATGGGAGTCAGGCCCTTATAAAAGAGGCTTCACAGAGTGGTTGGCCCACTTGCTGTTCCACTTTCTGCCATGTGAGAACACAGCCTTCCTTCCCTCTGGAGGATGCTGCCTTCACCAGGCAGTTGAACCTGCCAGTGCCTTGATCTTTGACTTTCCAGTCTCCAGAACTATGAGAAAATAAATGTCTATTCTTTATAAATCACCTAGTTTCAGGTATTTTGTTACAGGAGCACAAAACTGAGACCAGTAAGACACTGGGTCTGACTGTCTGCGATCTGGCTTTGTCAGTGCCCAGTAAGAAGCTGATAAGACCTTATCTCTGGTCACCAATCTTCTCAAAATCTCCCCTCTAGCTATATTTTTAAAACTTTTTGGACTTAGAGAAGGTTAGTCTCTCTTTTCCATCAAGCTTTCTCTATTCTCCACATGGTTTACAGTTTTCCATTCAGACTTCATTTCTTCCCAAAATTCCTTTCCAGAAAGCATTCCCTGGCCCTCTGTAAGCTAGCTGGGTATCCCTATTGCACACTCCCATGACACCTAGGACTTTTTCTCTATCACTGCACTTACCACTCTATTATTGCTCCACTAGACTGATTTTCTCAACCTGAGTTCCCAGGAGAATTAAGCCCCCATACACCAAGACATCCATTACATGTAATAAATAACAACTACATGGCCGGGTGCAGTGGCTCACACCTGTAATCCCAGCACCTTGAGAGGCCAAGGCAGGTGGATCACGAGGTCAGGAGTCAAGACCAGACTGAACAGCATGGTGAAACCCTGTCTCTACTAACAACAACAAAAAAAAAAAAATACAAAAATTAGTCGGGTGTGGTGGCACATGCCTATAATCCCAGCTACTCAGGAGGCTGAGGCAGGAAAATCGCTTGAAGCCAGGAGGCGGAGGTTGCAGTGAGCTGAGATCGCGCCACTGCACTCCAGCCTGGGTGACAGAGTGAGACTGTCTCAAAAAAATAAATAATAAATAATAAATTATGGCTCTACTTTCCATCTGGAATGGCACTACTTAAGTACCATCATTGGGAGAACTGAGCAAGCAATCATTTTCTATGTTCCATGGTTTAGATGCAATCAGGACCCTATTTTATGCCTTACTGTATTCCTGAGATATAGGACTACACCTGACTCATAATAGGCACTCAGTCTAAGTCTGAAGGAGGCACTGCATAAGTGGATGAGGCCCCTTCCTTGCTGACAGCCTATATTCTGAACCAGCCGTCCGCAACTTTTTGGCACCAGGGACCGGTTTCATGGAAGACAATTTTTCCACAAACCAGGGGCACGGTTTTGGGATGATTCACACACATTACATTTATTGTACACTTTATTTCTATTATTATTACATTGTAATACATAATGAAATAATTATACAACTCGCCATAATGTAGAATCAGTGGGAGCCCTGAGCTTGTTTTCCTGCAACTAGACAGTTCCATCTGGGGGTGACAGGAGACAGTGACAGGTCATCAAGCATTTGATCCTCAAAAGGAGCACACAACCTAGATCCCTCATATGCGAAGTTCACAATAGGGTTAGCGCTCCTGTGAGAATCTAATGCCGCTGCTGATCTAACAGGAGGCGGAGCTCAGGGAGTGATGTGAGCAATGGGGAGTGGCTGTAAACATAGACGAAATACTAGTCCATGGTCTGGTGGTTAGGGACTCCTATTCTAAACCATTTATCTCAATCACTCTCATTTTCTATGCTCCAATCTGTTAGAAACCTCTTAGGTTCCTGACTCTGAATTCACTTCCTACTTGTAGCATTATACTCTTGAAATAACCTTTGTCACTTGCCTAAGAGCACTGACCTTTAGCTAACTTGGTACTAGTCTGTACTACTATATCCTATATCCTGTACCTCTGACAATTTTTCTGGTGACACAAATGGTGCCAGTTTGGCATCTAAAAAGGACTATGTGGAAAACTACTTATCTTTTCTCTGATCGCTGCAAACACGAATTCATGCTACTCACTGCTCAAGAGAATGGCAAAAACGCCTGAAGCATAAGGGTAGAGGCCCCAGGACACTGGATGACGAAGTACATGAGAAGCAGGCACAAGCAGCAGTAAAGAGAGAGAGCCATGCCAGAAAGTTAAGATGGACAATGTACTCCCTATTCAATTTCCTATTTCCACAAATATTACTTACACCTTAATCTTCAGGATCCATTTCTAATCTGATTGAAAAGGATCTAAAGCAAATACATATAGAATTGTTAATAAGTTGTAAGCTCAATATTCATACACATTATTAAAGAAAAAACTCTAAAAAACAAAATATAGAATCCAGTCAACTACTCAAACACCCACAGAGATAGAGACTCCTTAACATTTTCTGATTTAAAATCAAAAGACTCGAGAACTACAAGCTTGAATTATGAGATGGAGCCTAAATAGTGAGACATTTCCCAGCAGAGTTTGCAAGCCCTTTAGGGGTGAGAATAAGGCGTCTGTGTCTAGCCTCACCGGGTTCCTTACTGGGGCGGAACGAAGTCCTTCATGAAGTGTGATAATGCCTCTAAATTGGGGTTGGTAAACTATAACTCACAGGCCAAATCCACTTGTTTTTGTCAACAAAGTTTTATTGAAACTTAGCTGTGGTTATTCATTTACATAAAGTCTGTGGCTGCTTTCCTGTTACAATGGCAGAGTTGAGTAGTTGTGACAGAACTGTACGGCCTACAGAGCTTAAAACATTTACTATCTGGCCCTTTACAGAAGAAGTTTGCCAACTCCTGTTTTAGAAAGGTTCCTATGCTCTCAAAAATCACCACAGGGAGATCCCTTCTTATGGCCAATCGTCCCCAGTGCATTTGCTCCTAAAACCTGATCTGGCTTCCTCTGGGGCCTATTTTGAAATGTTTCTCCCTCAGCTGTGTGCTGCATGGTCAGTTCACTGTCTTACTAGCCATTCCCAACTTCTTCCAGCTTTATAACTAGTTCATTCTCAGTGCTGTTCTCAAATTCTAACTTTTGATCTGGGCCATGATTTTCCTAATTAAATGTTAAGTAATTTGATATAGATCAGAAATTTTTCACAAATATACACTACTTAAGTGAAAATCTCCATCTGAAGCCCTGCCTTTAAGAAATCTGGCTTAGGATATCATATTTAAGTCAAGTTTCTCTCATACCAGAACAAAAAACAGCATCTCTGTGCCTCTTATTCTTAAATCACTACCCTTTCTCTGTCTCCTTCATGCACTCCTTCACTCACTGTGGTTTGGTTTCTGCCTTCTCTACTCCCATTAAAAATGTTCTGATCAATGTCACAGATGGCTCCACGTTAGTCAAAGCTAACTTCTCAGGAGACCTTCTCACTGGGCATATAAGCAACAGGGCACTTTCTCCTCCTTCCAAGGCTCATCAGCTTGGTTTCTGGCACATCAGTCCCTGTTGCTGTTCCTCCTTCCTTGCTGGCCACCACTCCTCAGCTTTCTTTCCTAGATCCTCTTCTTCTGCATACCCACTAAGTTTTGGTATTCCTCAGGCTCTATCCTCAGAGGTCTTCTTTTATTTCTCTATAAAATGTCCATTTATTCAAGTGCAATTGACGACACCCAAATCTCTACCTCTAGCCAAGTTCTGACTTCTGAAATCTAAATCCTAATATCTAAATGCCTTCTAGCTTTATATACTTGTATGTCCCCAGGCATCTCAAACTCAACATGTCTAAACAAGTTTATCATCCTACTCTAACTTCTGTCCTTGTTCCCCTTCCTAAATTCTATCTTGGCAAAGGGTGCCACCATTCCCTCAATTACCTGAGCCTAACATAGAAGTCATCACAGCTTCTTCCTATAATCCATCACCATGTTCTAGCTTATTAAACAGTCTTAAATTCATCTCCTCCTTGTATTTCACATGGGCACTGTGACTTCATCTCTCACTGGGACTCTCAATACATAATTTTCTTTTCAGTCTCCCACCAATTTTGCCCCTTTCCTTTAAGTCCTTCACACCCTACCACCACAATGATATTTAATATACAATGTGACTATGTCACCTTCCTCAAAATCATTCAGTGACTCCCCAGTGACTACATAACAACTGAACTCTCTTACACAGTTAGACCTTTCACAATATGACACCACCACCACCACCCCTGCCTCTCCATCTGCCAGCCTGGCCTCATCTCTTGCCACTTTATATCCCTAGCTTGCATTTTAAGCTCAAAAATAAAATAGTATCTGTAGTTTTCCAACTCTACCATATTTTCAGAAGTCTCCAATGCAGTACATAATACTGCCTAAATTCACAAGACAGTTATGTATATGCCCTAAATCATTACTAGTTTCTATAAGATAAAAGTCTACTAAAATTTTAATAAAAAATGAGAATTTGAACAATAGCAGTAGCAAGCAGCAATATCATAATACTATATTAATGATAAACTCTCTATGGTT